ACGCAGTGGGACGCAGTGGGAAGGAGTGGGATGCAGTGAGATGCAGTGGGACGCAGTGGGACGCAGTGGGACACAGTGGGAAGGAGTGGGATGCAGTGAGATGCAGTGGGAAGCAGTGGGACGCAGTGGGACACAGTGGGAAGGAGTGGGACGCAGTGGGACACAGTGGGACACAGTAGGACACAGTGGGACACAGTGGGACACAGTGGGACGCAGTGGGACACAGTGGGAAGGAGTGGGATGCAGTGAGATGCAGTGGGAAGCAGTGGGACGCAGTGGGACACAGTGGGAAGGAGTGGGACGCAGTGGGACACAGTAGGACACAGTGGGACACAGTGGGACACAGTGGGACACAGTGGGGCACAGTGAGATGCAGTGGGATGTAGTGGGACACAGTAGGACACAGTGGGACACAGTGGGACAGGAGACACTGAGACATTAAGGGACAGACCATTTGTTGTATCATTATCTAATTAAAAATCATTCACCTGAAGCGTCACTGCAGCTCTGGCTGCTTCCACACCTTGTAGCTTGGTTAGCAGAGGGTAGGGGCGGGGACACACAGTCTGATGATGTGGTGTTGCCTTCAGGTGGTGGGTTACACTGAGGGTCCACACAGGGAAGCCCCCCGGTGCTCTGCAGCTCCTCAAAGCGACAGGCACACTGTAAAAGCACACAGGAAGTATGTTTGTGGACAGGTGAGGACAGGTGAGGACAGGTGAGGACAGACCACTGCTGCTCTCTTCTCACTTTTACCTGTTTGGGAGTGAAGCCTGGTAACAGCTGGGCCACTCTGTCCCAGTTTATGGGCTGGCCCACCCCCCACAGAGAGCCCAGCACCATGTCCAGAACCAGCACGTTGTTGTCGTACGGAAAGTTGTTGTTGTCTGAACAGAAGCGGCTCATTTCTGCACAAAACACAGAGAAAACAATTACAACACGTCCARTAAAACACATTATAAAACAGATAAACTTCAGCTTCTAACTGATGGCGTGCTGTTTATTATAATAACAATAATAATAATAATGTTTTAGTCTTATAGGGCTTTTCGAGACCCTCAAAGACACTTTACAATTAAAGTGCTGATTAATAAACAGATTTGTTTATATATTTAATTTATTTATCAGCCTGTCACTCTTCAGATGCTTCTAACTCAAAATAAATCAGTAGTTTTTAACATCTGCAGCATTCAGAGCAGATGTTCCTCACCGTGGATGAAGCTCCGGTCCTTCGGTTCAGAAGATGCTGCAGATGGACTCTGACTCTGCTGCAGCTACCGGCTGCAGGTTAGCTAACCGTGCTGCTTTCAGGGAACCTCGGAAACCTCAGCATTAAACACTACATTTATACTACAATCCAGCAGCGGATAAATAACTGTAGTTCCACTTTAACAGATCACTAAATGTGCATTTCACTGCAAGGATAAACTGTTAGATGGTTACAGGAAAAATATATCAATTTCTGTTAAATAACGTCTTCATAAAGTCCTGACACAACCCAGTTCTTCCGACAGGCCATGAATGCAGCATTAGCCCGAATCTGCAGCAAGCATTGCTGCTAAAAAGCCTTTTAGAGTCGACTTTAGGTAAACTTTTGATTATTCATCAGGTTGTAAAATAAAACGGTCAACATCTCATCATGTAAAACAAACAAAGAATCAACACAGAAGATTCAAACCGGTTTAAAGCTCACTGGTTTCTGAACCTGCACAGATGACTGGGCTCCAGCGACGCACTGCAGCACATTAGCTGCATGGCTAACAGGTTGACACGGCAACACCGCCGCCATCTTGAGACGGTCAACTTCAGAGCGCCATGTTGAACCGGCCTGAAAAATATTCTGTCCAGTGTGTTAACATTTCATCTAAACATGTAACTGTCTCAGTGTGGGGGTAGTTACAGCAGGGGGTAGTTACAGCAGGGGGTAGTTACAGCCTGACAGAGGCAGCAGGGGGTAGTTACAGCCTGACAGAGGCAGCAGGGGGTAGTTACAGC